CTGCTATATGCCTGCGAGACGTGGACAGTCTACAGACGTCACATGCAACTCCTGGAACGATTCCATCAGCACGGCCTCTGAAAAATCCTGCAAATCTCTTGGGAAGACAAGCGGACAAATGTCAGCGTGCTGGAAGAAGCAGACCACCAGCATTGAAGCGATGGTCCTCCGCCATCAACTCCGCTGGACTGGCCATGTTGTCCGGATGCCCGACCACCGTCTCCCAAAGCAGTTGCTCTATTCATGGAATCATAGAATCAAAGAGTTGGAAGAGACCTCATGGGCCATCCAGTCCAACCCCCTGCCAAGAAGCAGGAATATTGCATTCAAATCACCCCTGACAGGTGGCCATCCAGCCTCTGTTTAAAAGCTTCCAAAGAAGGAGCCTCCACCACACTCAGGGGCAGAGAGTTCCACTGCTGAACTCAAGAACGGAAAATGGAATGTTGGAGGACAGGAAAAGAGATTTAAAGATGGGTTCAAAGCCAACCTTAAGAACTCTGGCATAGATACTGAGAACTGGGAAGCCCTGGCCCTTGAGCACTCCAGTTGGAGGTCAGCTGTGACCAGCAGTGCTGCAGAATTTGAAGCTGCACTAATGGAGAGCGAAACAGAGAAACGTGCCAAGAGGAAGGCACGTCAAGCCAACCCTGGCTGGGACTGCCTTCCACCTGAAAACCGATGCCCTCACTGTGGGAAAAGATGCAGATCAAGAATAGGGCTCCACAGTCACCTACGGACCCACCGCCAGGATACTACACTTGGAAGACCATCATCCTCGAACTACGAGGGATCGCCTAAGTAAGTAAGAAGTGGAGTATACAGTGGGACCTCAACTAAATAGTGTCCCAGCTTAAGAGCATCTTGAGTTACTGCTGTCACTTTGACATATGAGCAGTGCACCTTGGGGATCACATCCAAATCTATTATTTCTTCTTCTTTGTAGTCTTCCTCTTCTTTTTTTCTTCTTCTTCTGGCTAGGTGACCATCTGTTGGGACTACTTTGATTGTGTTTTCCTGGCAGAAAAGGGGGGGGGGGTTGGGCTAGATGGCCCCTTGGGGTCCCTTCCAACTCTAGGATTCTATGATTCTGTGCCCTTCCAGTGCCTGAACCTGTACTTCCCTGAAGCTTCCCTGGCCAACATCACGTCCTGCATAGACGGAGATCTGGGCAACAAGCTCATGCACCAGAATGCCCAGAGCACCCGAAGCCTCAACCCGCCCCACCAGTACGTGCCCTGGATCCTCATCAATGGGGTAAGCAACGTTAAGGCCCAGTGCCAATGCTGATGGCCATTCAGCACTGTTTGGCTTGCTTCTGCTTTTGCTATGTGGGATTGTTCACCAAAAAACAAAACAAAACCTATTTGCTTTCCACAGAAACACACAGAGGAACTCCAAAGTCAGGCACAAGACTCACTCTTCAGACTGGTCTGCGATCTCTACAAGGCAAGTGTCCCTTTTCTACCCATGTTGTATGTTCACATACTTTCATTTGTGGGGCATGCAAACACCCGGCATCATCATCATCATCATCATCATCATCATCATCATCATCATCATCATCATCATCATTATTGCTACTACAAAGGCCAGGTGGTCATCTGTTGGGGGTGCTTTGATTGTGCATGAAGACAGAAGGGGGTTGGGCTGATGGCCCTTGGGTGTCTGCTGCTGCTGCTATTATTATTATTATTGTTATTATTATTATTATTATTATTATTATTATTATTATTATTATTTAAGTAATACTATTATCACAAAGACTGGGTGGCCATCTGTTGGGGTTGCTTTGATTGTGCATGAAGACAGAAGGGGGTTGGGCTGGATGGCCCTTGGGGCATCTGCTGCTATTATTATTATTATTATTATTATTATTACTATTATATATAAGTAATACTATTATCACAAAGACTGGGTGGCCATCTGTTGGGGGTGCTTTGATTGTGCATGAAGACAGAAGGGGGTTGGGCTGGATGGCCCTTGGGGTGTCTGCTGCTATTATTATTATTATTATTATTATTATTATTATTATTATTACTATTATATATAAGTAATACTATTATTACAAAGACTGGGTGGCCATCTGTTGGGGGTGCTTTGATTGTGCATGAAGACAGAAGGGGGTTGGGCTGGATGGCCCTTGGGGCATCTGCTGCTATTATTATTATTATTATTATTATTATTACTATTATATATAAGTAATACTATTATCACAAAGACTGGGTGGCCATCTGTTGGGGGTGCTTTGATTGTGCATGAAGACAGAAGGGGGTTGGGCTGGATGGCCCTTGGGGCATCTGCTGCTATTATTATTATTATTATTATTATTATTATTATTATTACTATTATATATAAGTAATACTATTATCACAAAGACTGGGTGGCCATCTGTTGGGGGTGCTTTGATTGTGCATGAAGACAGAAGGGGGTTGGGCTGGATGGCCCTTGGGGTGTCTGCTGCTATTATTATTATTATTATTATTATTATTATTATTACTATTATATATAAGTAATACTATTATCACAAAGACTGGGTGGCCATCTGTTGGGGGTGCTTTGATTGTGCATGAAGACAGAAGGGGGTTGGGCTGGATGGCCCTTGGGGCATCTGCTGCTATTATTATTATTATTATTATTATTATTATTATTATTATTCTATTATTACAAAGGCTGGATGACCATCTGTTGGGGGTGCTTTGATTGGGCATTTCCTGTATGAAGGGAGAAGGGGGTTGGACTGGATGGCCTCTGGGGTCTGCTGCTATTATTATTATTATTATTATTATTATTATTATTACTATTATATATAAGTAATACTATTATCACAAAGACTGGGTGGCCATCTGTTGGGGGTGCTTTGATTGTGCATGAAGACAGAAGGGGGTTGGGCTGGATGGCCCTTGGGGTGTCTGCTGCTATTATTATTATTATTATTATTATTATTATTATTATTATTACTATTATATATAAGTAATACTATTATTACAAAGACTGGGTGGCCATCTGTTGGGGGTGCTTTGATTGTGCATGAAGACAGAAGGAGGTTGGGCTGGATGGCCCTTGGGGTGTCTGCTGTTGTTATTATTATTATTATTATTATTATTATTACTATTATATATAAGTAATACTATTATCACAAAGACTGGGTGGCCATCTGTTGGGGGTGCTTTGATTGTGCATGAAGACAGAAGGGGGTTGGGCTGGATGGCCCTTGGGGTGTCTGCTGCTATTATTATTATTATTATTATTATTATTATTATTATTATTACTATTATATATAAGTAATACTATTATCACAAAGACTGGGTGGCCATCTGTTGGGGGTGCTTTGATTGTGCATGAAGACAGAAGGAGGTTGGGCTGGATGGCCCTTGGGGTGTCTGCTGTTGTTATTATTATTATTATTATTATTATTATTATTATTATCACAAATAATATAAATAAGTAATATTATTATCACAAAGGCTGGGTGGCCATCTGTTGGGGGTTCTTTGATTGTGTTTATACTGCAGGCAGAATAAAGGGGGTTGAGTGGATGGCCCCTAGGACTGCTCTTACTACTACTACTGGAGCCCCTGGTGGCGCAGTGGGTTAAACCCCTGTGCCGGCAGGACTGAAGACCGACAGGTCACAGGTTTGAATCCGGGGAGAGGCGGATGAGCTCCCTCTGTCAGCTTCAGCTCCTCATGCGGGGACATGAGAGAAGCCTCCCACAAGGATGATAAAAACATCAAATCATCCAGGCATCCCCTGGGCAAGGTCCTTGCAGACGGCCAATTCTCTCACACCAGAAGCAACTTGCAGTTTCTCAAGTCGCTCCTGACACGACAAAAAAACAAAACAAACTACTACTACTACTATTATGACTTGATGGCCATCTATGGGGTTTCTTTTATTGTGCTTTTCCTGTATTAAGGCAGAAGGGGATGGGCTGGATGGCTGTTATTATTATTAATAGTAGTCGTCGTCGTCGTAGTAGTAATAGTATTACAAAGGCCAAGTGGCCACCTGTTGGGGTGCTTCGATTGTGTTTATACTACATGGCAGAATAAAGGGGGGGTTGACTGGATGGCCCCTGGGATTGCTCCTATTACTATTCTTACTATTGTCAAAAAAGCTGGGTGGCCATCTGTTGGGGGTGCTTTGATTGTGCTTTCCCTGCTCAAAGGCACGTGTTAAAAATGTGCACTTAAAACCCGTTTTTGGCCAGAAAATGCGCATCTTCGAATCACTGCATATGCTTGTACTCAAGGAAAATATGCGGCTGTGTTGCGATACCCTGGTGTGGACTGCTGCAGCACAGAAGCGCATTTCAAAATCCCAAAACAGTTGATGAGGGCCACGGATGCACAGGTGGCTAAACGGAAGCACAAATGGAAAGCAAACAATTCTCATGAAAACTCTCTGCAAGCATTCCTTTTTCTCGATGTTTATGAAATTAAACAGAGCTTGAATTTACACAGTACGCATCAGCACGGGAGGCCAGTGACTCCGAAGGAAAACAGGGTTCACGAGGGAAAAAGGAAGGGCAGCAGGAGGGTGAAGAGAGAGAGAATGACAAGAAATCTGCTTGTGCACATATTCAGATATCCGCATCAGTGTTTGTGAGGTGCAACGCATCTTTGTGTGCTTTGGGATGGGCGAATCCCCGACTGTGTTTGTCTCCGTACATTGCCATATAATCCAGATGATTGAAGCAGATAATCCACATTATGATCTGCTTTGAACTGGATTATTTGAATCCACACTGCAGTTCAAAGCAGATCTTCTGGGTTTTATATGGCAGTGTAGATGGGAGGCTATTTTTACCATATATGGCAGTGGAGATAGAGCTCCGCTGGCATATCATGCAGTTCAACACCCCCGTTAATCTGCATTTTGAAACTGCAGTGTGTTGCATTGGGCCTTTGACTCCATAGTAATGCATCGCAGGGTAGTTCCAGCTTGTAATGTGTTTTCTTGGGTCATTTGTTGCCTTCCAGTGGCTAATAGGAGTAGGTGCACAAGCACAAAAATTTGACATGTTGCTCCTATTTCCTGGCTTGCATTCTGTTGCGTTCCATGTTGACAGCTTGCTTTTCTCCTTGCAGGGAGAGCCACCGATCGCTTGCCGGGACCAGAAGGTAGCACCACCAGCCTGGCCTCGTTCCCCGCAAGATGATGCCTATTGAAAGGCCAAGGAAGAATCACAGCTGGCTTTATCTCGATTTGCTATGTTTTGTTATGTTGAAATTACTCAGAGCCTGTTTCCCTTTTTTGCCAGACAGCCAACAATGCATCCCTGGCAGCTTTGGTCCCGAATTAGTTACGAGAGCCAGGATATCTTTATCAGTGAGTTTATTGATCATCATGGTGAGCTTCCACAGAAATTCCCCAGCGCCATGCCGTATACCTCAATCCAGCTTCTGTTTTTATAGAAATGTTAAGCTTTCATGTCTTTTGCATTAAACCATTACACCTTATTTGTTTCATTGCTGTGAGCATAAGTATTCAGACGCATTGTGTCGGTGCTAGTTATGAAGTTGTTATGCAGTAGCAACAAAAATAATTTTGTGGTTGGGGGTCACCACAACATGAGGAACTGTATTAAGGGGTCGCCGTATTAGGAAGGTTGAGAGACACTGTCTTGGACAATAGGGGAACCCATTTTATACCTCAACAACTGTTTCTGAAGAGAAGTAAACATGTCCTAATAATAATAATAATAATAATAATAATAATAATAATAATAATAATATTGTCGAAGGCTTTCATGGCCGGAATCACTGGGTTGTTGTAGGGTTTTTTCGGGCTATATGGCCATGGTCTAGAGGCATTCTCTCCTGACATTTCGCCTGCATCTATGGCAAGCAACCACTTTACTTCCTGGTGTGGTTTGGGGGACATTGACATTGATTTATAGGAATTATAGTTCACCTGCATCCAGAGAAACTGTGACCACCACCGGCAATGGACTAGGACCACACTTGGCACCGAGAAGCCCCAGGGCCAACAGAAGATACTGCAGGAATTGACCTTGATTTTGGAAGTTGTAGTTCACCTGCACCCAGAGAGCACTGAACCCAGCTGATGTCAAATCTGGACCAAACTTGGCACACAGACCCAACATGGCCAACTGAGAATACTGTTGGGGTTTGGGAAGAATTGACCCACAATGCTGGAATTTGTAGGGATTTTGGGGATACTGGCTCATGTGGGTGTGTAGTTCACCCGGCATGCATAGAGCATTCTGAATCCCACCAATGTCAAATCTGGACCAAACTTGGCACACAGGACCCTGGTGACTAATGGAACATACTGGAAAGGTTTGGGGGTGACTGACCCAAAAGTTTGGGAGTTGTAGTTCACCCAGCATCTAGAGAGCATTCTGAACCCCACCAATGATGGATCTGGACCAATCCTGGCACACAGACCTCCCATGACCAGCAGATTATATTGGAGGGGTTTGGGGAACTAACCCATCCGCGTGGGATGGGTCAGTCCCCTAACATACATACATACGTACGTACATACATGGCTTCCGATTGGCTCCCAATTCCACATGCCACTGTGACCAAACTTGGAACACAGAATCCCCATAACCCACTTTACATTCTGATGTGGCTTGGCAGAGGATGGGATTTGCAGTACCTTCACATGATTCAGCCCCCACAGACCACTGCAACCCCACACATGAAGGACCTAGACGAAACTTGACACACAGACCCCCCCCCCCAATGTCCTATCTCACATCCTGGTGCGGTTTGGGGGAGGGTGGACCTATGGATGATGGGATTTGAAGTACTTACACCTGATTCGGCTCCCACAGACCACTGAGACCCCCATGAATGACGGACCTGGACCAAACTTGGCATACAAGTGCCCCGTGACCCACTTTATGTCCTGGTGTGGATTGGGGGAGGATGGACCATGGATGATGGGACTTACAGTACTTTCACTTGATTCACCTCTCCTAGACCACTGCTACCCCCATGAATGACAGACCTGGATCAAACTTGGCACAGAGAACCCTTGGGATTTGAAGTACCTTCACTTACTTCCAGAGACCACTGCGGCCCCCATATATGATGGACCTGGACCGAACAGGCCCCCATGACCCATCTCACATCCTGGTGCGGTTTGGGGGAGAATGGACCACAGATGATGGGATTTGCAGTACCTTCACCCACTTCCAGAGTGATTGTAGAGACTAGTTTTTTATAAAAAGTTTTTAGTAAAAACCAAATTCCCCAAAAATCAATAGATGAAACATTCTGACATTTGGGAAGGGGGGTTACAATATGTTCTGCCTTTGTAACAAGTTTCACCCCGATAGTTGTAAATATAAGGGAGAAAGGAGTCCTGGAAGCCCGCCCCCAGGTGCGCAAATTACTTTAACAAAATTGTTACTCATTACAGTAGAATCACTTTAGAAATGAAACATCGGTACCCCTTAATTTTCCAATGACTTTTATCAATTGCACTTGCCTAATAATCACACTTCTATTTTTGATAACACTCTTCCAATTAATAAAACTTACAACTGCCCATATAGTTGCCAGTTTGTTGATTTTGGCTAATTTGCAGATCTTAAGCCATTCTTTTTGCGTTGGACATTCCTTCCATCTCTATGCAGAAACAATTCTTACTGTAGTAACGCATCGTAGTAACTATCCATGTTTTTTTCTCTACTTGATCGTCCAGCATTCTGAGCAAATAAAACACTGGTTTCATTTAACCTTAATTAATTCCAGGATGAAATATATTTTAGTTCAATCTTTCTACAATACACCACATATGATAAAATGTCTCACCATGGAGCTTGCATTTCCAACATTTACAAGAGTTGCTTTTGTACATGTTAGAAAGACACTCTGGTGTCAACTGTAACCATTCTCTCCAGTGTGATTTCTTTCTTTTCCTTTTTTTTAATTTTTATTTTTTTGAAACAATCTTTTACTTTGATCTCCACTCAAAGTAAAGCTCTTTCCACACTCAAGGCATTCATAGGATTTCTCCTCAGTGTCAGTTCTTTGATGTGAAAGTGTAGCAGTCAGGTGTAGAAAAATGATTATAAAAATATAAATATAGTTTAAAATTGGAAGCTTATTTCTGAAGCATTGGTAGAAGAGATTTATAGGTAAAGTTTTAGGAGAAGTTTGTTCCAGAAGATGAA